GTGGATTCATTATTAATGATTTAACTGCTCAGAACTGATGTAACCGCTCATCGGAAAGCCAAAGTTGAAAGAAAAGTTGGGGGGCGGGGTACATTTATCTGAAAAAACACCAGTCCGTCCATGTGAGCACAAGGTAAAAGCTTTTTTCTTTCTCTTTACTGAGGTAATAAGGTTGAAATAATGCGGTCAGCCATAGTTTGATTTAATGTCAATTCATGTTCACCTGATTTTGTGCTCTGAGGTGGTGAACAACAGCCTTTTCTGGTCCTGACCCCCCAAAGGCACCAAGCTGCTGTGGCCTCTCTGCCACCCTCACCTTGGAAGACTCTCTCTGGACTCTGTCAGAGCGTTGTTGATGCCTTGTGTTTTTCAGCAGACGATCTTCCCGTCAGACTTTCAGGTCTGTGTTGACCCTGAGCACTCTTGGGACTGTAGTACACACAAAAATTTGGCTATTCCTGACACACGAGCTGCAAGTTGCCTTACAAGCTGTAAAGTTGACCTGACTGGTCTTTAGTAGGTGAGTTGTGAGCTGTCATGACATCTGAAAAGTTCTCGGTTTGTCAGAGAGCAAAACACTGTATAGTAGAGCTCTTCCATCAGGACGTTATAGCGGCTGCCTGTTGCCCCGTTCTACCGAAGGATGAATGTCCATGTTGCGAGATGGAGAAATGACTAGAAACCAGTGCATGTCGGGCAGGGGCTGCAAATGTGCAAATTGATAGTTCCATTTTCTGCTTTTCTGCTTCTTTTTTAAGACCATTTGATAGGAGAATCATGGCAGCATGCTGAAAGGAAGGGCTTCATGTAGGAAAAACCCGCAGCTGCCATAAAAACCTGCACTTACAGCCGCATTTGAAAGCTGAGCGAAGTAAAAAAATGAACTGCAGTCTCAAACCACTTGAGCCCCAAAGTGCTCAAAGTAAGTATTTTTGATTAAAAATATCTGCCCAGTGGCACAAAAAATACTCCAAACTCCGGTTCACAAAATCCACATAAAGAGACACGTGAACATCAAATGATTAAGTGTATTCCTCAGAAAACCAGGCTGATTAACTCACTTTTCATGGCTAATTCCCTCCTATTGTTTTTTTTTTTTTAAAGAGCATCTTGAGAAAATGCTGTCAAACTCCAGTATTCACGTGTTTATCTCTCGACTTCCATGTTGCTGCTGTGAAGGCTGTTGGTAAACCAGATTTGTCAAACAGAATTTTTCATTTGCTTTTATGTTTTATTCATCCTTATTAAAAGTAATATTGTTATGTTAGAGATCAAGTTTAAAAAAGGTGTAGAAAAACATTAAATACGAGACAACTCAAAGAACAGCAAATAAAGACGTGTGTGTGTGTGTGAGTGTGAACATTAATAATGTTGAACATGCAGTTAAAACTATGCATATTAAACACTGGCTCTTAACTGAGCCCACTAACTTGCAGGAACGTGGAGTTTCTTGACTCCACATTTGAGGTGACCAGTGTTGTGCTCTTTAAGGCTCTCCATAAGTCTTTGTCTCAGAGAAAGACAAGATTGACGCACCTCTTTCCCTTCACTGCTGTCTCGTATGCTTTGTTATTTCTATAAGTAATAAACTGGGGAAATGTTTTCTTTACCATTACATCACTAGGAGCAGACTATGACTGGGGAACCTTCTCGCTGTACACCACGGTTCAGTATTTCTGGAGTGGACTCATTACTTCTCGCAGCTCAGTGGGGATGCCGAGGATCCTGCAGAGCACACGATCCGGGACTGACATCCCGCTGTTGGCCGTGGAGAAAAGGGAAACTCCTCTAAAGCCACTATGCGTTGATCTCAACTCCTTCTACAGACTAACGCTTATACCCACTGGTCCAAAGAGAAAACTTTAAGCTGGACTTTCACTAAATGTTTTTGCCTCTCGGTAACAAAGCAGGCCGCAAGTTAGTCAGGTTTTATTATTTCAGGATTTACTCAAAAAGATACGTCTCTTGATTCTCTAATTTATGAATTCAGTATGATCCAAACATGTTCGAAATATCTGTTGATCAGAAGTTGTGACTTCCCTGTGTTGTCATGGCAATGAAGCTGCCAACATAAGTCAAGGCTCCATTGATCTAACAAGATGGCAAACGTGAACTTTAGAGGTGTACAGTAAGTGGGAACGTGTTGTTGAGCTAGCTTTCTGCCCCTCAGTGTAAAGGAACCCATTATAATGTCCCCCTACGAGTGCCTAATCTAATTTGAGGGTCAACAATAATGAGATGACTCAGTTTGGCGTTTAAGAGACTCGTTATTTCTGTCCTGTTTTACTTGGGCAGCTGCTGACATTTTTAAAGTTTCATGTAATTCTTGTATTGCTGCAATTGGTCAGCTGAGGAAAGAAAAAAAAAATCGGCAAATTACAAAACATTTACATCATCATGTAATTTAGTAAGGAAAGGAAGTTGTGTACACAATGTAGATATTCTGTGTTTGTTTAAATTAACATTGCCCATATCTCATTAATCTTTTATCCTTATGGGTTTCACGCAGCACCGACTTCAGAGTCATGTTTGAATAGAGCTGAGAGTCCCATCTGACCATCTAACCCCAGCAGGAACATGCTTTTCTCTTGTTTAGCTTAAAAATCTCAGTTTCAATCGGCTTTAAGACCTGTCAAAGCTGTTTTTCAAACTCTTTTCAGTGTCCTTTTACCCTCCAGTTCATTTCTCATAATTCAATTTCATAATTTAGTAATGTTTGAGAATTGCACTTCTTGTTTAGAATTGGTACGTAAAGTATGTTTTTATGGCTACAGAATAATACAAACTTTAGTGTTCAGACTTGTTTCCAGAAAATTAGACCATGTACGGGGAAAAGTAACACAGCAACCTACTACTAATGTTAAAAACACAAATGTTGTCAATGTTTGTTTGTTTTTTTACCTGAACTCTGCAGATCTTTTACATGTAATAATACACATAGTGCTTAAAAAAAGAAAAAAGGTATAAATATGAAATCCTTACTGCCAATGTAAAATAACCTGTTGCATGAAACATGACAATGAGTAGATATATTAATCCTAATCCGACTCTTTTATTCACCTAACCGTCAAGACTTCTTAATATCTCAGTATCAGTGCTATCAAATCATCTGTGTACGACAGTCAGGAGGGTCACTGCATCATAAATGTCAACGATAATCCATTTTTGAGGCCCCAGCACACAGTCATAAATCATCTAATACTGTCACTACAGGAGGGAATAACCCTGATCCTGACTGGAATTTAAGATCGTTTTCCCACAACTAACAACTCTGCAGAGGTTTAGCGGACAAGGAAGACTAATTCATTAATAATCTCATGATCACATGTAAGTGTAGTTTCCTTTTAAATAACTGAATTTTGATTTGTACCGGGCAATTTGGAAAATGAAGTTAAGATGATTCCTTTGGACATTCTTGCCTTTTGTCATGGAACACTTCTGCATGTTTCCCCTCAGTGTATCAGAGTAAACTCAGACCAGATGTGGACTGAAGGTTGGGACCATCAGAGGTCCCTAAAGGAGGTGGCATCGTTTTACCGAAGTCAAAAAATTATTTGCCTCATTAATCCTAATAATGACCCCCACCAGGTCAGTCCCAAACTTTGGACAAACTACAGATTCAGCATACATAATATCCCTCTTGCATGTCGAGTTCAAGTTTTTAAAAATGGGTTAAACAGAAATTCCCCTCCTCAGAAATGATTTTACTGCCACTGTTAAATTATAAAAGAGGACATACATTGATGTTTTCCAGTTTAACAGGTCACATATTCATTATAGATGTGCAGGCACATTACCAACTGAAAATCCAACTAAAATGGCAGTTACTCACATCTATACCTAAATAGCACTTTATTAAAATCTGAATAAGACATACTTTAATAATCCCATAGAGAAATTATTTAAGGAACTATATTTTGGGCGATTTTTAGATTATTAAAGAAAAAGATAATTGCTGTATGAGCTTCCTCAAGCACAGAAAAAAATTAACAAAAAACAAAAAGCTTCCAAGTATTTTTCTGTTGTTTACTTGTATTAGGGAAGCACAAAATGTGTTGATAAATTCAATGTGTTGCAATGAAAATCCAGAGAGGGAATCCTTATGGGACCAGTGAAGCCTGCATTTTAAAAAAGAGCATCTGCATCAACATGAGCTGTAAAGAAATGAAAGAACATCCTGTCATGAAACTATATCTCGTTTTAGAGTAACATGTGATGCCTCACTGCTATTAGTTGGTATAAAACAATTACGTACCACGAGACAGAACAGATGTATAATGTTACAGGATCAACCATCACATTTAACCATGCATGTGTGAAGAAAAAGGGCAGCCTCATGGGCTGTTTCCACATCTGATCTGACAGTTTTAGTTGGAAAGTAATGGAGCATTTATTGACCGAGTCAATAATGAGGTAGTACCGAACACTGTCTTAATCTGAATCGTTCTAACAGATCTGAACGATTTTTTTTAACCCGGCTTCCAATGTTTAAGCCTACGGTAGCCATCAGTCATACTCAGTTAAAATGAACACAGAAGAAAGAGATGCAGTGCCGAGTCTTACAAGGATTAGAAACAAAAGGTCCCACTTTATCATCATGCGAGTCTCGTTTTATTCCCAAATTAAAAAGACCATTTCAGGCACTTGTAAAGCTGGTAATGTGTCTTTTCCATCAGATGCCAAGAACTGTCCTGGGCTGCTGTTCAAGCACAAGAAACTATCTGCAAAATATTGGAGTCACACGAAGAAACAACACTGCGGCACGTTGCATCTGTCCTTCATTTCTCTGGATTTTGCTCTGGCTGAAAAGGCATTCAGGTAATTTCCATTGAGAGTTCTCAAAATTATTTACACAGCTGGCTGAGTCCAGCTCAGCTTTGGTGTTCTTTAAGGAACCCTCTGCATACACATTTCTGTGACCATGCCCCGCCCTGGAGCAGTGTCCCAGTGTCTACACTGTCTCTCAGCCCAACTTTTCTTCCCTCCATCATACCATCTCGTCACTCTTGTTTTGTTCTTTGCTCCAGACAGTCTCGGTTGTCATCGATGCCATCTTTCAGACCAAGAACACTCTCCAAACGTCTGGCCCTAATGGGAGGCAACTGTTCATATGTTTCAAAGCCAAGCTGTGTGTGCTGTTGGGGAAGACGGAAAAGAAGCAAGTGGTTCCTCAACACCTGGAAATGAGACATAAAAAGGGAGAAAAAGTTTTTCACCGTTAGGGAAACTAAATTCAATTTTTGTGTGGCTATAAAGTAGAAGCTGATGAAAGCCTTTTTTTTCACACTAACAAATGACCCAAACTAGTGTGGAATTCAAACTGGAATTTAAACTAGATTCTCAGAGAGTCTACAGTTGGAATAAACCAGCATGGTTAATGAAGATGTCGAAAATGCTCACAGACATTTAGGGTTGTCCAACTTTGGTCCACTGTCCAGCAGGTTTTACAAGTTCCCCTGCCTCAGAACCCCATTCTTATTAAATGGATCTATTCAAAAGCTCTGGACAGGCCGGCAGAAGGGAAAAATCTAAAACCTGCAGGACCATGGCCGCCCAGTACCAACTTAGGGCACCCCTGCTTTAAAAAAATCAAAAACCACAACTGGCATGGGCCAGAGAGGAGTCAGATGCATTTCTGCAAGAGCAAATTACACATAAACCTACTGGGATTATATCTAAACTGCAGGGAAAAGACATTTGCGTCTTAAATCTGATTCTGAGGATAGAGTCTGTGTGCACTTTGATTCTTAAGTGATGAGATGTGTGCCAGTTACCAATCTCTCTGCTTGGCTTGCATTGTAGAGTACAAGGCAACAGTAACTATGCAGAAAAGCAGCGGGGGTTATGACTCTACAATGGTTGGCTGCTTCTCCCTGAGCCTGTGCCAGCACAGAGTTTTTTTCACGCCTGTCCAAACGTTCTCATTTGCCGTGTTTTGACCTTAAACCTTTTGCCATCAACCTGTATTTTATTTTTTATTTTAAGTTATGAAGTCACATTTGATTGAAAATCCTGTCCTTTTGTTTGTTATGGCTGTGCAGATTTTCTAAATATCTGTTCAGATATGCCAGAGAACATGAAAAAACAGCAAATTTAAAAAAATAAATTACAAAAACTTAAAGGAGCAGCTGTCAGGGATAAAGTTTCAAAATTGAATTACTGCTGGTATTTAACGTGTCAGAGGATGAACAATGCTTTCATCCACTTCAATTCACAAAAGGTTGCTGCATTAAAACAACACTATGTCTTCTGGGTTTTAACCCTCCCCAAATCTATTACAGATGTGTAAGAAATATGCTCGACAGAAGGTCAGGTCACCAATCCCGCACAGGCCAACATGGAGACAAACATGAAAAGCATGCATGCACCCTAAACTCTCACTTTCCATCGACGTGGCAGCTCATCTCTCTCTGGTATTAAGCAGACATAGAGTTACGCCGAGTCAGGATGTCTAAACATGGTGCTCAAAACCTGTTCCTCCCAGCCTCTGCTGACATTGGTTCTAATCACTGGCCCAGCAGAGATTTGGTCCCAGTGTAGCACCAGCTTTTAGAGCAGGGGCCCCAGCACATGGAACTGGTTCACATTTTGGCTCTGGCTCTCCCCTTTGGTTTTAAAAACCCACAAAGAAGCAGGTGATCATTAATAAAGAAGAGTTAAGCAGTAATTTCCACCGCTGGAAAGGAAAAAACAGCTCAGAAAGGTAAGAGCTATTTAGAAAAAGGTCAATAAGTTAAAAATGGCAGAAAGCAGGCTAGTTTGTGAGCAATCAATGCAAAGGTCAGCAAAACAAGCAGAATAATACCTCATCCATCAGGTAGTGGATTTTCCTCAACATACTGTGTCGAGCTGCTTCAACCTCCTGGAAAACAGAAAATGGTAAAAGGTCAGCTGATGCTTTACACCATTACCCTGACGGATGTTTAATATTTTAAGCTGCACTGTTCTGTAATTTAGAAATTTAGCAAGTAAACAATTTAGTTACATTTTTGCTTATTCTAAAAAAAAATTAAAAAAAGAAGACCAAGTACTTAAATCCAAGTCACAAACCACAGATTTGGGATCTTTTCAAACATGAGGGAGCTCATGTCCTGCCACAGTGAGTTCTAATCGATAGCAGGACAGTTATGCGGACTCCTCAGAATCCACTGAGCTTATACTTAATGCAGAAAAGGTTCACAGATCCCTGTGAAATCCCTAAGCTCTCCCCACAAATCCAGCCTCCAACTCAGTGCAGCTGCAGCACCCTCTGGATTTGTTAAACCGTTGCATATGTCAGAGTTTGCCTCATATTTTACAGTGACTGCACACAGATGCTAAAGAAAAGCAAATAAATTGTCCGTTTTGTTTTATTTTTTAAACTTCAGCAGGAAAGAACTTCCTGTGATTAAAATATTTCCTTAGTTTCTGCGCCTCTCTCTTCTTTGTTCAGGTAAAACGTGTGTTAGCTGAGCTGTACCTGTGCTGCAGCATCCTGAGAGAAGATGAACGAGTTCACATGAGCCAGGGCAACCACATACAGGACGGGACACCACGAGATCTTCAGGGTCCCGGTTACCAAGGAGCGGAAGTAAAGACGAAGGAGAGGGAGGGAGTCTTCGGGGGGGGAGGTGAACCTCTCAATCGGGATGGACAGCTTCCAGTGAGGAAAGGGGCCAGTGGATAATTCATGTTAGAGAAGAGAACATAATAAGAAAACTTCCCTTATATGTCTGTTTAAAAAGATAGCTCCTGAATTTACCTGTTCCAGAGAGACCCCCAGCGACCTGAGCATCCCCACATGCTCTCCAAACACAGCCAGCCTCATGGTGGAGCTGTACCTCCTCTGCAGGGGCAGCAGCACCCAGCAGCCGAACAGCCGGTCTCCAAATGACACGGCTTCGTACTGAGCCAAGAGGGCTGTGTACAAGTCCTGGAAGGAGGCGAGACCAGGAGGAGGCACGTTCAGGTCCAACAAGTCCAGCCTGGATCCCCTTTAAAAGAAACAACATTTATTTTATTTAGACTTTTTTTTTTTTTTGGTTAAGATTTGGTATAATGCTGAAAGATACTGCAGATTCTTTAACAGACCTGGTCAGCAGTCTGAACAGACCCCAGACCAGTTTCTGAACAGGTCTCTCCAAGAACAAGTCACTTGAACACAGGAATATGCAGGACAGGCGGGCGAGCTTGGCCACAGGAGGGATCATCTTAAAAGACGAGACAAATCTAACTTTACATAAAGCTCCAGGTTCAAAGACAGCACTTATTTCAAACGATTTGCAAACATATTCAGACACACGGTCAGTGTGTGGTTTTGTATTTAACTGTTTATCACTTATCACTTCAAGCCCTCTTTATCTATGGTCTGAAAATCTCAAAGAATCCGCTTTTTAAACTATTTCCATTTTTCATTAGAGGTAAAGTAGAGCAAGAATTCTCAATTACAACAGCTCATGAGAGTATATCTGTCCTTCTTGTACCTTTAGAGCGTCTTCCCTCCAAACCTCCAGCAGCAGCAGCCACTGGAGACAGTGGGTCACCGCCTGCAGAGCCCCATGAGGGAGCTCCTCAACCGCCAGCCCTCCACCATCAGACACCCCTGTCCGTTCGTAAAGGCTGATGAGAGGGAGGAAAGGCCAGTCGGAGGGTATCGAAGGACCGGTGAGCTCTGGGAGGAGATGCGAGGAGATCCACGGGCCGCGCCCCAGCAGAGCATCTCGAGATGCGAGGACAGACGGCTCCAGATGGGCCAGGTGTGTGAGGAAGCAGCCTCGTATGGATGGCAGCTGGACGCAGGCCTCTCTCAGGAGGGCGCCCACAGTCTGGAGGGAGGGGGAGCTCCGCTGCTGTGTGTCCTCCCGAAGCTTCAATTCTCCGAGCTCCACGGCCTCAGGCCCCCCGCTGTGTCCCTCTCTGCAAAGCACAGAAAAAACATCCCTGTGACTGGCAATTTGTTGCTTTTACACACAAACACACACACAAAATGGTATTTTGAAAATTATGTAAATTAAATTCTAATCACGGGCTGCACCAACAAAAGCAAAACAGAAAAAAATCTGATGGTGAAACAAGAGAGCGATCAGGATTTTGGACTGTTGGACTATGGGATTTGTGGAAATATGTGCCTGGTTAAAAATCCGGAGGAATACTTACGATACAAAATCCTTGTTGAAGATGATACTGGAGAGCAGCTCGTGTGCCAGATATTCACTGCCTGGCAGTAACCACGGAAGCAGCACGAGTGCCACCTGGTGGAAAAGGGAGGCCTGTTTCGCCACTTCTGGATCAACGGTGACCTGCGCAACGTCAAAGAGAGAATGGGGAGTAAATAAAAAGGAGGATCGTGAAGACGAAGCCAACAGTAAGAAGTGGACGGTCAGAGTACAGATGAGTCCTACAAGTCTGTGTGCCAGCCGGAGCAGCAGGTAGAGGAGGTGGTACTCGTGACGAAGAAGCCAAGCCCTGGTGTGGCACAGGCTGGGTGTGGCCTGGCAGCAACTACGCAGGTAACCAATCACAGGCTCTGACAGGAGGAGGCTGGAGAACTAAAGAGGATCAGAAAGAAAAAGGTAAAAAAAACCTCTCTTAAAATTTGCAGCTATTATAAGTCACCGCAAAAAGGGCAGAAAAATTAACCAAAATCAATAAGGTAATCCGATGCTTTATATTCTCTTTAAGGCTGTCTACCTTCTTGCTGAGACCTTTATGGATTCCTGAGATGGTGTCCAAGAGAAGTCCCATTCCAGTCAGCAGTGGGAAGGGGGAGCTGGGAACGACCAGCCCAGACTGGTGTCTCCATCCCGGGCAGGCCAACCCGGGAAGGTTAGGCGTCGTCTCTGGGCCCAGAGCACCAGCCGTAGCACTGCACACTACAGAGGAAGACCTAAAAACAAAAAAAGTTGTTCAGAGCTGTTCAAAGCAAGGCTAGTATGATGAGTGAAAACAAAGAGTGATTCAAAGTAAACCAAGCGTACCTGAGATTCTTCATCAGGTTTTGAACAACGCTGTGGCACATCAGAGGGCGAAGAACCTCGGACGTCAGAAGCTCCAGCTCTTGAAGTGTCTCCACTGGTCTGAAGCTCTTCTGTTGAACATCAAACACATCCACATTTTTCAACAGAATATTTACTTTTTGTGGTATGCTTAGGTTAATGGTGTAATAAAGCACTAGAAGATGGTGGGGATAAACACATTTTTTTAAAAAGGAACCTTTGAACGATATGTAAAAAATAAGGAGCCGATACCTACCTGTCTGGACAGCTGGTGGTAGTAAGCTTCTAAATAGATTAAGTAAGCAGGTATCAGAACCAAGCTGCTTTCTTTCTGGAATGGATCATCAAGACTCTTCAAAAAGCCCTTCAAATGCCCCAACAGGGACGTCTGCAGCCCGGAGACATGAGCCCACGACACGGGAGGCGGAGGGGGGCAGCCGTCTCCATTGGCGCTGAGGTAAAAAACAGAGAAGGCGACATGTGGACACCGAGGCTTCAGGCAAAAACAGCATTTGAGCCGGGGTCGTCGCGCCCCCCCCCCTCCCATACCTGGCCACGCCCGCCTGGAGCTCCTCGTGGCAGCCGGCCGTGTGCGTGACTTGTGTGAGGAAGGAAAGCAGAGCCAGGAGGCGCTGGAGCTGCAGAGGCTGCAGAGGATCTGAGGGGGGCAGAGCTGTGTGCACAGACTGCAGCGCTCTCCCCAGCGCAGGGTACAGGTCTCTGTGGAGACACCAAGGGAAGCGGATGACCCCAGAACACTCACCGCGAGCACTTTCTCACTGCCACTGTTAAATCAATGTGATGTGTGACACGACAAACGGTTGTCTCAGGGTAACCAAGGTACACACTTCATGTCTAATCCTGATTTTTTCTTCTTTTTTCTTTAAAATCATTCATTTATATCAAGTATCCTGATTTTTTTCTTCTTTAAAAAAAAAAAAAATCACAACAGTCTCTAGATGCTCACAGTTTCTATAGAAGTAAGCTAGGTTGTGTTTAGAAATCCGTCTACCTCTGGCTGGCAGAGGTGCCCCGGGTTTACCTACAGATAAATGTTGCAGGCCTGTCCGTACGCGGCTGCCACGCCCCACAGCCTGTAGGCCTCGGTGGTGATCCTCAGCGCCTCGGCCGGCTCCAGCAGCAGCTCGCTGGGCTCCGCACTCAGGAGGCACGACAAACGCTCCCTCACCCCCAGAGAGTTCAGCTGCACAAGATAGAGAGCAAGATCCCCCACTGAGCCTTAACCGTGCAGAAACGATCCGGTTAAACATCCAGCTAATGAATTCAGACGCCTGAGGTGCTTAAATCTGAGACGGTTTTTAGACACACGGACCACTCTGGCGCAGGCATGTCTCCCAGCGGTCGCCAAAACCCTCAGCAGCTTCACGGCACTGGCCAGCGGGAGTCCATAAACGGATGGAGGATTTAGGGACGATGATGAGGCCCAAGAGGTGGGGAGGAACTCAGACATCACGGTCTCCATCAGGCGAGGACAATCCAACACCTAAAAGAGAACATGGTAAACCGTAACGAAGCAGTCCAGCGAGTTAAACCAGAAACCTCTCACCGTCCGGCTTCCTACCTGTGTGGCTGAGGATGAGGAGTGCCTGGCGATGCGCGTCAGGATCTGCAAAATGTCCTGAACCACGCGGGGAGACGGCCGGACCACCTCAAGAATGTAGCGAAGCCTGGGGAGCAGCTTCATCCTTAACAGACCCTGGAACACAGAGCAGCCGGCAAACAGCCTTTATGCTCCAAAGCTCAATGCAAAAGACATGCAGTAAGGAGAGGGTGAAATGTGCTGCTTTACCTTGACCACGTCCTGCCTGGCAACTTCATGATCATTCTTCTTCTCTTCCTTTTCCTTGGCTGTCTCCTTCAAGCATTCCTCAAGTCCTTCATCCTCCTCATCTTCTTCTTCTTCTTTAGAGGGCAGGAGAGGGAAGGTGGCCAGTCCTCCAAACCAGGAGAAAGTGCAGTCCAAACATTCCTGAAAGAAATTTGTGAAGACCCAGAAGAACTCTGCTGTCATCCATACAAACAGAGAAAAAGATTCTAAACTCTGATAAAAATAGGCTCTTTGGTTTTACTACATTCATTTTGAGTTTTAGGTTTTGAATTGTAATCATATTAATGATTACATGTTGACATTTGCTCTAAACCTAAAGCTAGGGTATCCCTTTGAGAAGAAAATATGAAGCACTCGGGATGGTCTTTACTTCATCTTCTTCACAGACGAGCAGGGCTTTCAGAGCGTGCACCGCAGCCGACATCACTCCCTCCACACCGTCGTCCAGAGCGAAGCGAAGCAGGAACAGCAGGCCGGCGTCAAGCAGAGTGGAAATCACACTGCCTTTAAGAGCAGACGAGTACCCCCCGGATCGGCCCTGGGAGACCCAACACGGAGCAATGTAACCGACGGCCCGAGGAGTTTTCTGTAAACTAAACGGGTCACCTGGTGTGTGTCTGTGGGTACCTTTGACAAGATGTTGGCCAGAGTGCCCAGAGCCAGACTCCTCTGCTGGATGACCTGACTCCGAGACAGCAGGAAGAGTTCCTGCAGGGTGTAACCTGCCAGCTGGGGTGATGCATCACAGGAAAAAGAAGTTAACTTTACACTTATTCAAAGTTCGAAGAACCTTTTATACCCCTGGTTTGATTCTACTGACCTCTGGTTCCTCTCCATGGTGGTGCAGGCCTAAATGAGTTGGCAGATCCTCTGTGGGTGGAATTAAGGTCCCCACAAAATCAAAACGAGCCTGCATAGCCTTTCAGGACACAACAGACCATTTAGTGAGTTTATCGATTTACCGATGCTTTCAGTTCAAAGCAAAGGCTTAGAAAGAACAGAAGTGCTCCCTTACCTTTTTGGTTCCTCTCCTTCTGGGTGCAGGCAGGTCTCTCATCCACTCAAGCTTCTCCGGCTCCAGCTTGTCCATGTGGACCCATTCCTTCTGGGGCTTGACTGGCAGCTCTTCCTCTGAATCAATGGTAAAAAATTTGACTTAAAGTTATAGTGTGCAACAGGCCAATAACAAAAAAATATAAATATAAATTTCAATAAAATCTATTTATTTCATTAAATTAATTGTTTTCTTTGATTATATCTTATTTCCAGGTTAAATGGTTATGGCCTTTAAGCTGAAAGTCTTTATTTGGGGTTTTTTTCATAGCTCCAATTTAGTTTTACTGTTTACCAAAACTATCCGGGGATTAAGGTGAGAATAATTCTAATAAAAAGATTCCTGGAACCTCATTGTTGTTGATTTTCTTCAGCATCAGAAGCTAATGATGAAGTTAAAAAGAAATACACTTTTTTTTTAAATAAATCATACCGGTCACAGACGGAGATGGTGCCATCTCCTCTTCCTCTCCCTCCTCCATCACCACTTCTTGGGGTTTCTGGAATAACACAGGAGCCCCAGAGGACTCTTGGCTAACATTTTCAAGAGGAGGGTCCTCTTTAGAGCTTGTGTCCTCAGGATGTCTGCATGGGGGTGCAGAGGAGGGGACGCTCTGAGATTTACGAGATTTAACAAACTCAACCAGTCTGGGATCTGAGGAGCAGAGAAAAATCATGTTGTAAAATGTTTCATTTTGATGAATTGGAATAAAGATTCGATAAAGGTTATTTTCCCTTCAGTTCCCCTTTTTCATTGCTTACCGAGCTGAGACAACAGTTTCCTCTGCTCTTCCAGTATCTCAGACTGAGACATTGCTTGGAGCTTGGCCTGGTTCTCCCGGTGGATCGTCATGTTTTCCCCTGAGCTGTCAGGGCCCCCAAGCCCCTGACCCGACACCAATCTGGGACTTGAGATTATAAATGGTCCTATGGGAAAAAAGATAAAAAGGGCAAGGAAGAAAAAGAGGTGTCTGGAAAACATATCGACTTTTAAAAGAGGCCCTTCAGTGTCATCGTCAGCATTACCCCGATCTGTATCCATCTGCGTTTCAGAGGGAAGGTTCTGCTTTCCTGGTTCACCTGCAGAGAGTGAAAGTGCTTTGGCCTCTTTAAGTCTCTGAGCAGCAATCTGACGAGCAAAGATGCTCTTCTTTCCTTCAGCCGATGAGGCTGAAACCTGCAGGTAAGGACCGATTATTACCAGAGTTATTTCAAATAATACAACACTGACAATAGCAAAGGATGTATACTAAGGTCAATCTGAGAATTACAGGGGAAGTATCCATTAATGCCTTGTACCTGATTGCTGGTTTCTGAGCGGCGCAGTACTTTGGGGAAAGCCACCCCGGTAAAGGCTGGTAGAGCTATCGGAACACAGCTGGTGTCTCTCTCCTTAGAGCAAAGAATAAAGGTGAGACTTATAAAAGGAAAAAAAATGAATGACCTAAATTTTTTGTCAAGTAAGGCAAAAGTATGGCTTTTTGGGGTGGACTGCCTGAGCGCACTGTAAAGTCACACAGTCCCATCTTCAAGAATAACAACTTGATTTCACATAAAGCGACTTACAACAATCCTGGAGAGAACGGCACTGATGTGTCTATCATGTCTGTCAAGCCTCTCCTCAGCATCCTCATCCTCAAAAGTAACGCGGCTGGCTTTAAAGCGGGACTTCTTAGGAGGGGCTGGCGTCAGAGAGGGGAGCTGGTCTGGAAGATCTGTATCAAACATCGTAGAGTGACAGTAAAGTGTTTGTTTTCAACAATTGCGCCACATGTTTTAGGGGTTTAACTGATAATCATGACAAATCTTTCACCTTCTATGGTGACCACATCCTTGGGATTCCCTCCGCTCTCCTGGCTGCTGCCTCCAGCCTCTCCAGCCTCTCCTCTCCTCTTGTCAGGCCGACGGACCACGCTGGCTGCGGATGGAGCACCCGAGGTCAAGAAGCGCTCTTGCTCCCTCAGGAGGTCCGCCTCTGAGTCAGACGGCTGGGGTCGCCGGATCATACCTCTGAAAAAAAACAAAAAATAGGTTATTCATTGTCATCAACTCAACTCACGATAATCGTGCCACGAAATTTCATTGACAGAGATGGGATAACTGGAAGCTGGAGTCGTTCCTGTTGACAAATTAAGCTAATAAAATTGTACTAAACGTCATATTATCCATTGTCAAATTATTCAAATACTAGTTTTCTTTACTTTCTAGGGCCGTAAATCTTGGTGTAAAAACCCCTTCGAAAGAAAGCAGCTAATTTGTATCAAATAAACTATCCCAAAGCTTGCTAAGTGACGCCTTTCTCGTTTCCCTTGTAGTTTACATTATAACATGGATTCGTTTCGATAAACGAAATAAGGTAAATTGTAAATCCTAAACTGCGTTAAGTTGGAGGAAAACATTACCAAATTACTACCTGTGTTACGTTAAAGTGTTTGTAAGAGTCGTTGTCAGAGCTGCTCTATGGTGGTGCCAGTTCACCGCCAGCTGCGTGCTTTATCTAGGAAGTTTTCTTACAAAAAGGTCGGTGTTTCACACGGAAGATATTAAGTGTGGCACAGCAGAAAATTACAGGCATAGGAAGGCATTTATTTTAGTTATTTTTTCTTCTTTAAATTATCAAAATGCTCCCACATATTAATTTACAATTTGATGCATTGAATACAAATTAAATCCAACGGGACTTTTGTTTTTTTTGGTAACTCGCCATCTCCGCTTTAAACTAGGACTGACCCAGACTTCCGGGATTTCAACATCTCGCGTTAACATCCGTGCTCCTTGTGGGTTTTGAACTGAGTTCCAACATGTCCAAAATCCCAACCATTATTTGGCCCAAAGTTGTTTTATTTGGGGACTCCATCACACAGGTATGTTTCAGCATTAAACGCATACTTTACGGACAGTAAATTATGTCTTCATGTCGCTCATTTAGCTGTTGCTGCAGGCTGAACAGACTAAATGTGGAACAAGGGACTGTTTTTGTTTTCTTTCAGTTTTCTTTTCAGGCCAATGGTTGGGGAGCAGATCTTGCCAACAAGCTTGCAAGGTGACCATTTCCCATTTGTTGGGATTGATTTGTTTTTTTCTTACAGTTAAACAAAATAAAATATAAATATGATATAGGCTATTCTACATGAATACAGCTTTCTCAAATGTGCCCAATTTGCTATTTCAATAAGATAATTGGAGACATTTGAGTTCAATTTTAAAGATGCAAAATCCAGACCATGATTATCAAATTATGATAAAGAAACATTTCTAAGAATGTTCATTTAGACACACAAAGGTCAAACTATTGTATTAGCTTCATACCACAGAGATTTATAAGTGTATGCTCATTTTATTTTGGATCTAAGCCCTATGACAATAACATTCTGCTCCAATACCTGATGAATAATTCTCTCTTAATCAACATCTGGGACTGTCTTTGATAACTTAAGCTGGCATTTACTTCATCTTCAGAAAATGTGATGTTGTGAACCGGGGACTGTCTGGCTACAACTCTAGATGGGCCAAGATTGTTCTCCCTCGCCTCATTAGCAGCCAAAACTCGGCAGACGACAACATAGTAGCTGTTACTGTGTTCTTTGGAGCCAACGACTCTGCACTGGAAGGTACGACCTCACTGGGATATAGTTTTTAAACTGTTTGGGTTTTTTTCTTACAAACTTAGTATAACAAGTATAACAAGCCAGCATTGGATGCTTTAACCTCTTGCCTGTGAAAAAAAACTCCTGATCAACGTCTATCCGGCTGTAGATAAGAACCAGCAGCAGCACGTCCCTCTGCGGGAGTACTCAGAGAACCTGAAGGAGATCAGCAGGTTTCTGACCTCAGCCGGCGTGTCAGCAGACAAGGTTATCTTCATCACTCCTCCTCCTCTTCACGAGCCAGCCTGGGAAAAAGAGTGCATCCTCAAAGGTAGCACAATGCGTCTGTCCTCTTTAACATTTGGACATTGAGTGACATTCCTGTGAAGACCGCACATGCCTCTTTTTGTTCAGGATGTCCTCTCAATCGCCACAACTCTGTGGTGGGACAGTATGCCCAGGCCTGTGTCCAGGTAGCTAGTCAGTGTGGTTCAGATGTCCTTGATCTCTGGACACTGATGCAGAAAGATGGACAAGTGAGTGTAACAATCTTTATTGGTTTGTCCGGTAGGAGTTTTAATATTGTTATATTTTCAGACGATTTGTGTGCGGAATGTTTTCAGGTCTTTCACTTGAGCATTAGAACCTTTGTGAAAGGTAAAAATTAATCTTAGCCCTCCTGGTTGTTTCTACAGGACTACACAGTGTACCTGTCAGATGGGCTGCATCTCTCTGAGAAGGGAAACCAGTTTGTGGCTCAGCACCTTTGGGGAATCCTGGAGAGCCGCCTGTCTGACCTGCCCTTCATCCTTCCTTACTGGGGAGACGTAGATGCTAAAAGCCCTGAAAGCAGCCTCCTCTGTAACCAATGAAATCTTCCCATGACAAACAGTTAAGCACTGGAACTTTGTTTTTCTAATAATACAGGATCCAACGGTCACGGTGTAAAATGCTCAATAAAGATTTTTATTCTTTTGACATTATACAAGCAAAAACTTAAAAAGTAACATACACAAGTACACAAACAGCATGAAAACACTCAAGGTCTGACATGACAGAGGTTTTTACATCCAGCCTGTTGTGCGTGTAACAAAAAAAACAAAAAAATCTAGTTGTTTTCTTGACCTATAGTAAAATCCATGTTTTACGACGTCAGCACAGAGCGGCGGGTCACAGTGGTGAGACGGCATCAACTAAGCAAAAAGACATTCAGAGCTCAGATTGGCACAAGTGCAGAAAACCAAACAATCAAACGCACAACATGACACTTTGACCTGCTCAGAATGGTCAGCCTACTTTACTCCAGGTAAAACCATGAGGCACCGTTTTGTTCTATACAGGAATCAAAGGAGTGCTTATTTCTGCTTTCCAGGAGGGCCAACATGTGATACTGCATCACCTACACACAGGTGTCAGATCTTCATTTTGAAAGAAAATCTGAAATCATCCAGTGACATAAAAATATCGTTTAAGTGCATTTTTAACTAAAATTCGAGACAAACTGTCCCCATCTGTCCTTTGTCCATCCTCCTAATACACAGATAATATACTGAAATGTTTTCACTTGCCAAGTTGGCCCAGTTCGAAGATAAAAACTACAAGCAATAAAATGACTGATAGGACCCCGTTCATCTGCAGCGGCAGTTTTCTAAACCTAATAGGATACATTGGAAATACAGAATAAAGTCTCAGCATTTCATTTTCATCATCTGAAAAGAAAATAAGTTTCTCAGAAAATGTCTCTTTACATGACTGGCACCATCGGACTGCAACTGTGCATCCACAGATCTGAGGCTTTAAAAAACTCAAAGGCAAATAATGTGAACTGAATCTCTCTTACAGTGTTTAAATTGAATGTACAGTGTAGGAAAAAAAAGACATGAGGGCTCTAAAAGCTGCGGTGTAAAAACTAAAAGGCTTGTGTCGCTGCGTGCTCACGTCCTCCCCTCAATGGTCAGAAGGGCTTGTAAATATTGCTTTTTAACATAAAACGGGATTCTATCTACCCCTCAGCACTCCGTCTCTTTTGAGTCAAGGCATTCCTGCCTCCTGAGGTGCCGCCGGTCCCGGGTTTGTGGATTCTGTTCTGTCAGATCCTCGTAGGAGGATTTCGTAGCCGACGAGCAGGCTCCTGCGGTTGTGAAATCGCCCGACAGGTCCTCCTCTCCCAGATGAGAGTCGCTGATGTTGTCCTCCTCGATTGTTGCCATTCGCGGTCCCCCTGCGCTGTCCGGGGTGGCGGCGTAGCTCGGGCCGGGGTCCTGGGTACTGCTGGAGCTGCTGGCGGGAGGGGCACGGGCCTGGCTCGGCGGCTGGGGCTGGGGGACCTGAGGCGAGGGCGCGGTCCTGCCGGCGGAGGAGTAGGGAGGCCGAGGACGCTTGACGATGCGCACGGACACTGACTCGGGGTTGCTCAGCATGTCTTGACTCTGTAAATGAGATAAACTTTTCAAAGGCGGGTTCAAAGACGCCTGTCTGACTGAGCCGGGATCCATTCCTTTTAACTTCCTTCTGTTATTTTTAAACTATCCTATTTCTCTTTCACAGTTCACAGTTGAATGCCAAAGAATGAATGTGTTACCATATTTATTATATTTAATAATAATAGTATCCTTCAGGTTAAAAAAACATCAATATATATTATTATACCTAACCTTTATATCTTAATTATTGGTAGAAAGTTGCAAAACAACAGTTTTCTACTTGTTGGCATTTTGAGTTGTCAAACAAAGTTGTTAGTAGTGGAATTAGTAGCTGTCCATTTACTGCCAAGTCAATAGAAGGACCTAAAAGCACACCATTGACCAATGTGCTTATTGGCAAGTCAAAAAGTCAACAGAAAGGGCTAAACAGGAATGTGGCGTCAGTCTCCACTTTGTTCCATTGTTTAATCTAAAATAGGACTTTACTGAGTACAGACAGACAGCCATTTCCTTAAAAACGTTCAACCCTTGGCTTGCTGTGGCAGATGCAAACTGAAAATGTCGACACACACTTCATCAGAGCTCACAACAGACAACAACAACCCGTTTGGTCCTCTCGCTGTTTGAGTACTCCTAAAATGAAAACGTACTCTATGGAGGTCAATTTTGAACAGATAATATTTTATATCTGAGCAGATGAAGACATTTTACGAGTTTCTCTGTGAGATGATGGTGAGCTTGAGGGCTGGAGACGTGCAGCTACAGCCGTGATTACATCAAAGAGAGAGCGACTTCATGACTATCCCAAACGTGGGCCACTGACCATGCATCGTGGACTCAATGGCAACACAAAGCAACACCATGCCATTGCATACACTCACCTATGGGGGGAGCTCTACTACAAACCTCCACCATCTGCTGCAGTTCCAAAGCAAAGAGTGACGGACAGGTCATTCAGAGATCCAGCAGCAACGAGCGGCTGAGACTGATGGATTATCCAACCACTGGACTTTGAGATTTGAGCTCGTTTGTGCCCTGTTCTCATCCAAGACTGTGACCCAGTTTAGAACGGGACTTTAACAATCAACTAAGACATGTCATAAAAACTAAGTACCTTAAAAAAATAAAACTAATTTTAATTTATTGCCTCAGTGATTATACATATCTCATTTTTCAGTAGTAGTATTTTGTCTCCATTTCCAGATAAAAAATATCTGAGTTCTCCAAAATATGGCAGTCTGGATTAGTTTGGTTAGTGTGGCAGCAAGGCAAGTGCATCTGATAATCAAAAACAAGGTGAACTTACACTTGGATTGAAGAAAAATGACTTTGTGTTCTCTTCATACTGCTGGTCAAGTCGTTTGTCCTACAGACAGAAAAACAACAGTGGTGAACTCAGGAGATATAATGTGGGTGATGATTCCCAGTATTACCAGCACAATGAGGATAAAAGCAAATTAATACACATGATGTTTCTCACCACACAGTGAACCAGGATACTGAGAGGAATCCAAAAGATCAGGGAAAACACTACGACCGAGCCCACGATGTTATCAGCCAAGAACTTCCCTGATGCAGGAAACAATACAGAAAAAAATTACTTTTTCTTCTCAACGCTTTGTTTAAAATTCTTAAGCAGCCCATCATAACAAACTTACCAAACGTATTAATGTCCAGCTTGTCAATAAAATCCCACAACCTCTCGATCACATCTTGTACCTGCTTCATGCACTTTCCCTATTTCAACATGAGAAGGTTAAAGTAAGTTAAGTAGTTGTTACATTTAAACCGTTTTTTCCCCCAATGTATGTAAAGATATTTGATCTGTCCTAATCTGCCCAAATAAATTGAGAGATTAAGATTTAGATCTAGACTCACATCTCCATCACAGAAACCCACAGGGCAGGGTTTGCCTTTACGAAGATAAAAGGAACCGAAGGGAGAGCAGATGCCATCTGACCCTCTGCAACACACTTTGCACGAGTCGTCTGTTTCTGGAGGTTAGAGTAAATCCAAGCAACAAAAATGTCAAATCCGCTAACAGCTCCTGTACATTTCCCCATCAACGCTTAATAATGAAATGCTCATTACCATTACAAGCACAGGACAGAAGATTGTGCTCGGCTTCACAAAAAGGGTTGCACTCTCCACCGCGGCACCGGCCTTTGTCAACACACTCGGTGTCGTCGGCAGCGTTTTCAGGAGGAGGACACTGACTGCTGTTTCCTGTGATGTCAGAAAAAAGTATCCTTCATTTCCACGTTCTGCCTGGGCAGCTAGAGCAGCACAGCCTCAAATGAAGGCCGTAGTTCTAATACTTGACCAGCAGGAGGCGATCACCTGTGCAGTAGGATACACCTTTACAGGTGGCATTTATGGGCTCTTGGCATCTTTTTCCCGCCCGCTCAAACTTGCAATTCCAACAGCACGGGCTGTTTCTGTCACTGCAGAGACATTGGGTTAATCGACCTTTTGATTAACTTTTTAAGGTCTGTAAATGACATAGAACTTAACCGTCTTTTGACCTACTTACCTGCACTGTACACCAGGTTTGAACTTGCAGTCTGAAGTGCAGCACGGGTCGTCGTTGAGATGGAGCAGTCCAGGATCACACTCCTCCCCGTCCTCCACCCTGGAGTTTCCACAAACTTTACTGTTCCTCTCCTTGAAGCACACCGGAGCTTTGAGACGTAAAGTCTTTCCAACTGAGATCTTGCTGCAGTTGGAGAAGCGCTTTCAGGAGGGAAGCAGACGTAAATGAGGTCAGAAAAATATCCACTGAAACTAAAACATTTTTATGAAATGAAAACACTGAAAAAACATAAGCATAATTGTATCTATTTGAAAAAAGAAAGGAATCTCTGATTGCATAACGAAATATAAAATGCTTGTCAATAATGAAATAATAAACAAGTATAGTTTGATCAGTCTGTTAAAGCAATGGAGAGCACCACCATTTACATCTTTAAAAAGTATAAAACCGAGTCTTTTAGAGGTAAAGCTCTTTAATGCAGAAAGTATTCTAAAATTATACATTTCTGTCTGTCACTAAAGACTTCAAAGAGTAGCTGCTGAAGCTCAGATTCTCCCCTCCGTTTGGCTCAAACACCAGCTAATTATCACAAGCACAAAAGTGGGTTGGCACATCTCAGTGACTTTATTTTGTGGTAGAATCTGTCAGATTGCTGTGAATCTTAACCCTTTTGAAACCTACATGTAAACACTTATAAGATGGACCCAGTTAGCTTATAGTTGTCAGATGTCACAGAAAAGTAGCAGGCTGCTCATTTAGACCTGACACCGAGGTGCTGAGTGGCTTTCAGATTAGTGGAGGGCAGCCCATGTGTGGAGGGGGTGAAGCTTGTGCTTCCAACCTAACAATGCCACGGCCTCTGAGTGCATTTATTAATGCATTTACACATGATCAGTTAACAAGTTTTTACACTTATTCATCTTCAAAAGGGTCAATAATGTTAAGCCAGAACAAATAATTATCAATGTTTCTGTAAAATTTAGAGCATAGATGGCTCTTTACTAAATGATATGAATACAAACAATTAGCAATGCTTCTAGTTACTGCTGTTCCATTAGTAGTGTTGGAATAACAATTTTTGCTCTAATGGGATCCGTACCTTGTTATTAATATGATCCCCGCTCACCGCAATGGGGTACATGACAAACTTCCCCCCCTGGTCATCACTGGGAGCGCAGTATGGGATGTTATCTGGATCATGTTCTGCTCCAAAGTTATGACCCAACTCATGAGTAGTCACCAAATCTGCTTCCTGGTAGTGATATGCAGTTAAAGACAAAATGTAAAAAAAAAAAACATTCAATGAAAGAAAGAACTCCATTCAGGCTCTAAATGTTTCCACAAATTATCTGAACTCTAAATAACTTTATTTGTTAAAGGCTGTCAACAAGTAGAAAAAAAACTATATCCGTTAATGATAGAATCATTACAAGTAACACCTTCAAGAAAATTGTGCAAAAGCTGTGATATGTTGTATCCAAGCAGAGACCACAGCTATCAAAGAAAGATCAGAAACAAGAGGTCACTGGCCTTTGTGAGGATGGTTTTGCCGTAGTTCTTGGTGCTGGTCAGGCCTGTGTTAAGGTAACTGGGCTTCTTGGAAGAGCGAGACGGGTAATAAGCTAGAACATTGGGATAAAGATCAAAATCTTTAGAATGGCACCTGATTTCAATTGAAATTTTCCACAATAAATTCTGGGTACATTTTGTCAAAACAAAACAGTGGATTTACGTTGAAGTAATTATAAAAAGTCATTTAACAGGAACACTGCTCTTACGTTTAGGACATAAGCCACCCAAGGCGTGAGCTTTGGATGGGGCGACATAGGCCAGTCCTAGTGTCCCCTCGTCGAAATCCTGGTAGGTGAACAGGTGAGCCAGACACACAGCGGAGGCATTGTCGGCTATGTCGGAGCTGAATTGCTGCGGGTCAGGAGGAGAATTACATAGAAGCTTTTATGAAAGTCCAAAATGAGCTTTTTAATTGAACTTGAACGTGAAGACTTAGAAAATCATCTAGTTGCAGACCATCAATTCAAATCATGGCAACAGGGGAAGCTCAGTTTGTTTTTCAACCAACTTAGTAGTCCCTAAGTTGTGACTGTAGAAAATTCATCTGAGCTGAGATCCCTTCCGGTTTCTCTGAAACCTGCATTCTTACCTCTAAAAGTTTCTTCACATCCCAGACCTCCTTCCCTCTCACAGGGCTGTTCTCCATGTTATAGTGGACCCAACTGTTACCAGCATGGTCGGGGGGAGGCTTTGTGGGCTCCTTGTTAATAATAATCTGAGATTGGTGGAGACAGTGCATATGGATTTGTAAGAAATGGTCTCATTTCAGCACTTTAACAGCAGATTTAAAAGGGACAACTGAGTTTAGCTGTTCAGTAAAATCCAAAGCTTTACATTGTGGTTCAGTGTGACAGAGGACAAATTCATCTTGACATTTAATGGTGAAAAAAATTGGAACAAAACTCAAAAGCAGCAACATGAATGCATATCTTTTCAGTGAGAAAGCCAGGGACTCATCGTGTTAAGAACAATGTTTCCATTCATTCCTAAAGCTTTTGGAACAAATGAAATTACCCACGAGGCACTCACAAAAGCTCTCAGTTCCTCCTCAAAATGCTGGCCTAAAAACCCCCTGAAGGACTGTGTTATTCTCAGCCTCATTTCCAGGAATGACGATGCATAAAATGGAGCCACTATACAGCTAGAGAATTAATGTCTGCTGCAACAGCACCGCAGAAAAAGTCTGCAGAGGGAAACTTTTAAACCCTTGTAATGCAAATGTACAATTTACAGACAGCTGCACACCTGCTGGATCTGGACCCCATAGCCTTTATATTCATCATCCCACGAGGTGTTCCTATAAATGTCATCAACTCGATCAATCAGCTCAATCTGCAGTGAGAAATAAGAGAAAACAAACTAACACAGTGACATTTAAAGAGTATTCTGCTGAATCCCTGCTCGTTGTGGTTTAGGGATTACAGAACACAGATTTATCAAAGAGAACAAAATCCTTTTTCAGCCATTTTAATGAAAAAAGTAGTATCATGATGTCAGACCAGGTAGTTGAGAGTCACGCTCTCTTGTCCACGGCCCATGTGTTTAAAGAAGCGATAATCTGCAACCAGCAACAAGGTGCAGGTATTCCTCCGATGGTCATGATCCTCTCTCTTCTGCCTGTGATGGTATTCTGCAGCAAAGTGACAATAAAAGAAAGACATAAAGATTCATTGTACATAGAAAAAAAGAGATGCCATGTTCGAGCATTTATTTGAAAGCAGCACCTCCTTTCAAGTTTAGAATGTCTTGATGTTTTTTTGTTTACTTCTGTTTCTGTTCAGGCCAGACTGGTAATAAAATTACCCAACATTTTTCAGCATGGGGTGATGCCTGAGATCTTTAATGCGTGGCCTCTCACACTCCATTGATCCGCTCCAAGGGACACTGAGTCATACAGATTTCAAAAGAAGTAGGCCGAGGAAGAGAGTGGCAGCGTAATGTTGAGTGGCTTCCTCCATGCCCATACATGATCATATTAACATAGGTCTAAATGAATGCTTAAAAAATTAGCTGCTGTGGTATACCAAATGATTTGTTGTTTGTTTGATATCCAGAAATACTAAACTGAGATCCTTCAAACTTAATGAACTGAAAGCTTTGCAACATCAGAGGAAGAAAACAGTTCATCATTTTGAGCATTACATCATGCACTGTACTTGGCTCTACATTATTCACAAGAGTGGGAGAGTGCAGCTCTGGCCTCGTCAGAAAGCAGTGGGAGAGCAGTGACGACTCAGACTCATCTCATTGGGCTACATAGTCCCCATGAATTTTAATGCCTCCTCCATCCGAACCCTCACCTCAACTCATCTCCCCAGTGAGAGCTTTCAACCATGAACCAGTGAGAGGTGTTGTAGATATCTGCTCCGGCACATTAACACCACTATGTGCTTTACATTACCAATACAGCACAAAAGAAACAAAAGGAACTTGGGATTTACTTAATACCTACTTGTCAGTAGTACGTATGAACACGATCAGATACGTTTTAAAGAAAAAGGCTATAATTAAACGACTATGGCAGAATATGCACCCACCTCCTTTGTTTTAGGGCTAAAGCCTTCTACTTCTTTCTCTCAACATTTAAACTCCTACTCTCTTTTTTATTTCTCTTTCCTATTCATAAAAAACCCACAAATCTCAGGGCTGTAATCTGCAGAATTATGTACACATATTCTTCACTCCCAGCTAGGTAAAAAAAAAAAAAAAAAAAGACTGCAGAGCTCACCATTTCCCAGCTGAGCCTCCTCATGTCTTTCCCAGCTCCTCCTGACAGTCTGAGGCAGAAGCCCCTGCTCCTCCGCATGGATATAACCACACACTTTTGGAGAGGCAATCCTGCTCAGATTCCTGATATCTTCTGAGCGATAAACCAGGAGCTTGCCATTAGTTGGGGAATCTGTGAACCTCCACAGGGGCTGGATGGCAAAACAAAGGGAAGCCTCATTAAAGTTTAACATTAATTATTAATTATAAAGAGAGGAAATTTGGACAAAAGACAACAAAGCAATAGAAAACAATAGAAGTCAGGACCTCTAAGAAACACGTTTATAAAAAGGGCAGAGGCACAAAGGATTTTAAAAAATGAGACTGATGAAACTGGGAGGTGGTATGGACTGATGCTGAATGCTGCAAAAGTCCTTCACTTTTGATCATCAGATGAGGACTTTTTCACCCAGCCTCTACATAAAATCCCAGGCACATTAGCAGGTGAGGCAACGCGAAAACGTGCCAGCAATTAATGAAGAGCATTTGTTTTTTGCTTTGAGAGCGAGTGTGTGGATGCTGGTTTGTCCTTTCATCTGAGGTGTGTGCAGATTTCTGCTCACTTCTTTTGTTGACACACACAGATACCTCTTATCAACACAGAGTCCCATCTACTATTCTGGACATGTTGGATAGAAAACAGCAATTCCACACCGCAAATGCTGCACCCGCAATTTCAGGAGGGAGGGAGTCATCCACAGGAGGAAACCTCAAGCTAGGATGTGCTTGTGTGAACAGCAATGCCAGAAAGGACCAGGATCAAACTTCAAGTGTTCATGAGTGAAAACTGCTTTAAAATAGAAATCTAATGAATTATGTAAACATCCCTGAATGCTGGTAAGATGCACAGAACACAGCCCAGCATTCAGTAAGTTTTAACAAATCTATAAAACATAATTACATTTTGAGGAGTTGACTTTCCCCCTCACTGGGTTCCAAATAAGAAACAGTAGTAAAACACTTACTTCTACATTATATTCTGCTTCATCTGTGAGGATGTGGGCCGAAAATTCATCCCCATCTATGTGTGCCTGCACACGTGAATTCTCCTCCCCTGAAAAGCATCATCAGAATACTTAATTGGTACCCAGCAGTAAATGTTTGTGTTAAACAAAATACACACGAAATGCACATTCTGAAAGCTAATTATTGATTTGGTCTGGAGGTTTGGTCAACTACTAGTGCGGGATCAAGAAAAAAACTTGCTTTTTTTTTAAACTGACTGCCAACTCACCAACAAGATGTCCAGTAAAATAGTTCTGAAGCTGAACATCGTAGTTCTCCTCGTTCCCATGTTTATCAAGAAACACAGTTTTAAATTTATCCGTGAAAAGATCTGTGTTTGTGGTTAGGTAAAGCTTGAAATTCCTGAGGTTAGGAAAAAAGACAACATGTTATTTGAACAAAAATGTCAGAATATATTGCTGATGACTAAATACTTAAAGAAGCTATGAGGGTTTGACATAATCTAATGAAGATAGATAAAGTTGATATTTTTATGACCATATTTAAGAACTACTCATGCTGATATATCTGCATGGAAATAACTTTTTTTGCTTTATTAGGATTACTCAAATACAGACAGAGTGATGCTTGCAAAACAGACATGTAACAAATAAACACACAAAAAAAAAGGGAGTCTTGCATCTACCCATTTTAACTAATGCGTGCACATTCAGCCTCTGCAAAGGTGGGGATAATAAAATTCTGATTAAGGATGTATGGCCTGGTATACCGTCACAGATGAGCAAGATATATTTACATACATTTTTTAACTGATAAAAGCCCCAAAAAATGGAAAAAGCAGATACAAAAATTTCAGATAAAACAACATAAAAATGTAAGAATAAACAATGAATAGGAAGTAAAAAATAAATTACGGTAATTAAATCCTGCTGTCCCAGCTGGACGAAACCATAAACGTTTGGTAAAGTTTACCATTACAAAATGAGGAGGGAGAGGAAAGAACTTGGATAGAGGAAGATTCCCACAATGAATAACAATGGATGCTCTTGAAGGCAAGCGAGCATGTGATGGGAAGAGTGCGGTCTCTTCTATTGCGGAAACCGGCAGACCATAGACCATAGAGACCATAGAACAGCGTGACACTAGATGAAGGATAACTGATGTAACAGAATCACTGGGACGTCTTTCAATGTGGCTAAAATCAGTAATCTTACTAACAGATGTTCATAGATCAGTCTTTATAGATCAAAGTCTGAAGGTGTCAGAAGTGATCATCCTTTAGGGTGACTTTTTTTTTCTTTCATCACAATATTGGTATCATTGTGGCACTAAACTAAACTAAACAAACCTCAACAGCGCACATGGACGACAAAACAACTGAAACCAAATGTCAAACAAAACCGAAAATTTGATTAAAGCTTCACATTGGCCCGCTACAACTGAGCAGGTTCTGTCATGGTCCTGTCTGCACACTGTCTGACTCTGCAGCCATAAAGTTCATCAGATGCTCGTCACAGTGCGACCCACCGTGAACTCGCTACAATACACGAATTGTAGAAAGCAGTATACCCTTTTTAGCCTGCTCACTCTCAGTAATCAGTCCTGCCTCTGTTTTTCTTTTATATAAAAGATGCACTGTAAAACAGAAAACATATTTATCCTGCCATTTGCTACACATAGTGGTGTGCAGACTGGTGGAAAGAATCGGGCATATCTAGATTTAAAAAACTGTCAGAGCGGAATGTTGCTCCATCTAGATCACAAATCCACTCAAGGGCTTCCATAAAAGCTATGACCTGCAAAAAAGCTTGTGATCACCTTTTAAAATCAACCATTATGTAGACAGCTATGACAGGAACCATGTTGTTATCCAAGGAGCCTGACTAAGTTTATCAATGAACAAAAGATGAACAAGAAAACACTCCGAGGGGTTCCTAATTTATTATGTGTTAGAGCTTCTCAGGCGACCATGTCCTTTAATGCTGAGGGTGGCGTGGGGGCAGACTTTGGTTTGCACTTGGGGAGGTGGGTGATGATGCTGTACCTCTGCAGGGCTCTGAAGCTCACCAGACGCTCCAGGTGAGACTGGGTGTGGACATCCCTCTTCCTCACGGAGTGCAACTGCAAGCTCGACAAAGGTAGCACCTCATAGTCCAACAGGTTGGATTTCAGCGAGTCTGCCACACACGGACAGAAGTAAGTAACCATCCATTAACCCCCCCCTCCACCACCACCAAAAAAAAAAAAAACTGAAGCAGCGTTGTTCATTGGCGACAGTTCCTCGCTCGACGTATGATCTTGTTTAGCAACAATCCACGATTTAATGCAAGGTAAATATCATGTTTAATATTAAAGAATACACAATTGAATATTGGTCACAGTTGTAAACAATAAGTGTATTTTCTCTCGTTATCCCTAAGACAGACGGCGGTTTGAGTCAAGCTAACGTTAGCTAACAGTTCTATATATTCTGAGTCACCTACCAAACTCTGAGTTTTCCTCATTATGGTCTTCCGTAGCAAATCTTGAATTGATTGAACTGTGTACCCAGCAAGGAAGAAGAAAGACAATTAGCAATATATCCCTCATATTTGAATGGCTCTGACGGCTATACCCGTACTGTCATTGTCAAAAATCGTTTCGGTTTGTGTCAGCGACCACTAGCTGGTCTACCCGGAAGTGCCTCGGATGGAAAACATCCGCTTTTGGCAAACCCGGGAAGAACCAACGACAACCCAGAGTAGAATAGATACAAATGGCGTTTAGAAACGTTTTATCTTCACGGCTAAACAGTTTTGGTATATTTTTAGTAGAAATATGTGTAATGTAATGTTTATTTGATCCATCGTGTTATTAAACAGTAAGAAATGCGTGCTCACCGACGTCAACCCTAAAGAAAATCACTTCAAACGCCTTTTTTTGTTTACCGTTATGGGTAGCCTTTACCGTCACATTTGAGAACGAACTTGTCACCGTTAATTAATAAATTAATCATTCTTCATTTTGCATGTTTTATTTTAAACTTACAGTTTGGTTAGGGTTTTCCACTTGGAAAACATTAATACATCCTGTTTATGTTTTCCACCTGAAATGCTTCAGTATTCAACAATGACAGCTATGTATGTGTCAACTTATCCTTAAGAAAATGGTTGATGAACTGGAATATTCAGCTTCATAAATTAACTTCTATATGTGGTAGTCGAGATACCATAGAACATTCATGATTTGAGTTCACTCACGCCAGGAAACTTGGATTTGGTTTATAAAATGTTTTATTCATGTTAATGTAGCTGATACATCAGGATTCAACAGTTCCACGAGGCGTTTGGGGGACTACAACTGAATAAATTCCAAAACAATAGTGGTCCAAATCTCTAGTGACAATTACTGGACTGACTAACAAATCACCCTCTTGTAGAGGGAGTAAAAACCTGCACTGAAACACTGAAAATTACTAACCATGACACATGGATTTGTGAGTTACGACAATTATTCCCATTCCAGTGTAATAGCAAGACGTGCATGACAAAACCCATCTTCCTCCCAATAAAATGGTCCCTGCGATTGGCAAGACGTGACCCGACCGTTTACGGTTCCCCCCTCCCATTAAAATAAAATAAAATAAAAAACAAGTGAAAAATTGGCATCATAACCATGACAAAAAGTTAGGACTTGGCCAATGGGTGCAAATTTGCAGTGTTGTAGAACCTGCTGCCAGTGTTGGGGAGCACTGGCGTTTCCCTGCAGTATGAAAATGACGTTTGTTTGAACCTAAACCTCAGCTGCTGTAACAGTACCACACAACTCTGCAGAAACAGACACTAAAAAAAAAATTCTGAGAACCGATTTATTGTGCCCAACATTTCATACTGAGAAAAATACCCAAACTTCACAGCTTCTCCGCCTCTAAAATGGACTTGGGTTTTATTTGTCGAGGTAACACTCTTCTACAACTGAAACAACACAAACGGGAAGGCCAAGACAAACTGAAGGAATGGAGGGTTCCTCTTTTCACCAGCTGCTGTCCCAATCTGAATTGTGAAAAGAATTTTTATTTTCAATCATTCCTTTTCAACCATTTTCAGCAATGATATTCATTGGTAGAATGTTTGAGTGGAGCATGAAGGAATGAATATGTAGAAAGTTTTCTTTTTTTTTTTTCCTTTTGAGTTGTTTTTGGAGATAATCCCAATTGTCAGGATGCAGATTCTTAGTTCTCAGTCTCGCCGCTTTCTGCTTCCCCACCTTCGCCCTCCTCAGGAGCGTTGTCTGATGTCCATAACTGTGGAGAGAAAGAAAGCGATTAAAAATCCCCTTTATCATTTTTATAATCTTTCAACCCTTGTGCCCAACCCTTTTTATTTACACTGAGACTGGTTCATGACACGCACACAAAAAAAAAACTTCTCAAACATTATAACATAAAACACTTCAGAAAACACAGATTTATGTATTTTCATGTTTAGCAGATATAGAATACAAGCTAAAATTATTATCTTTACCCATATTTAACCCCATTTGAATGTTCCCCACACATGGATCCATTAACATTCATTTTAGATTCCTCCCCACATTCTAAATAGCTGGATTTTACTTGAATGTGGAGCTGCAGACAGTGATTCACTCTTTCCACGTCTGATGACATCATTCCCCAGCCTCCACAAACACGTGATGAATCGAAACATGCTCATAAAATGGAGGACGGGGATTGTTAGCAAACTATGTCTACTTTGTCTCTAGAGTCAACAAGTTTTGCTTCCTCTTTGACTTTTTTTCTCTAATTTCCTAAAGAAAAACAGATAAAGTGGAGAGAGTATGTGTGACTAGGAACAACATTGTGTCCCTTTTAACTATCCTTGTTTATATTTTCCATGTGAATATCAACCAGGGCTGCTTTCTTTGGCACTTATAGATGACAGTTAGCGCACAAACGTTCTCTGACAGAGGTAGATTAGTAAAAACACTACGTTTTACACTACGTTTTACTGATGAAAAAACAGACTTTTAAGGAAGACTGACAGCCTTCGTCCACGGTGTTGAACATTTGAGCTTACTGTGAGGTTGTCTCTGAGGAGCTGCATGATGAGCGTGCTGTCTTTGTAAGACTCCTCGTGTAGCTGGTCGAGCTCAGCGATGGCGTCGTCAAATGCCTGGAAAGGCGACAAACATTTAAACTCAGATTCTAACAGCAGGCATGAGCGAGTGGTGGACACTCATAAGAAAGCAGGTCAACCTTTTTGGCCAACTCGCAGGCTTTATCTGGAGAGTTGAGGATCTCGTAGTAGAAGACGGAGAAGTTCAGTGCCAAGCCCAGGCGGATGGGATGTGTGGGATCCATCTCAGTCTTGCTGATGTCAAATGCTGACTGGTACGCTTGCTGAGAGTTTTCAATCGTCTCTGCGAAAAGCGGGATAAATCACACAGAAGATGGTAATGTTTACTTTTAGTCACTCTTGACATCCGGTTCCATTTACTGTAAAACAATAAGGTGTTAAAGTCATGGCTCAAATGTCACCGACATTTGATCAAATTGAAATTAACATTTTTTCTTTTAAAATGTCCATGTTTTTGGTGAGAACTATAAAATCTAAATACTGGAATAACTGTATGCATACAAGGGGAGAAAAAAAAACTAAAACAAATAAAACATATGCCTACCAAAATGATCAAATTGCAGGGTTTTTTTTTTTGGCATGCCATCTTTCCGACTTCAAATTCATGTTTTGTTTTTGCTCTAAAGCAGGGCTGTCTCAAGCCAGACTCAGCATGGAGAATCAGCAGGAATTCTGAGCTAAATTCATCTGCGCTCAATGCATTTCAAGCAGCAGCTTTGTTGTGGATTCTGACACGAAACAGATGGATTTACTCCGTCCACAGGCTTTCTGAACCTCAGACCACTGCTTTGCATCGCGGTCTGTGGTCTCAGGTACCCGCTTAATGCAGTAAACACTCCACCAAGTATGACATTTGAAGCCTTTGAAGGCTAAGCAAGTTTAAGCTTCATCTCACTAATCTGGAAAGCTTTTGATTCTCCAAACTAAGCACCTCGACAGCTCTCTCCTGTAACATTTAAAGTAAGTGGCTTAAAAAAAAAAAAAACGTCTTTTTTGAGAAAAAAAAACTCACTTGATTTATCGTCTCCAGAGGCAACTTCAGCAAGGTATCTGTAGTAGTCCCCCTTCATCTTTAAATAGAAGACTTTGCTCTCCGGGTTTTTTGAGTTTCCAATTAAGAAATTATCCAACAGTTTCTGTAAAGACAAAAAAAGAAGACGCATATCACAAATAGTATTAGAATATAGAGTATTCAGGCTATTCAGAGCAATAGGCGCCACCCACAAGCCATAATCACAGACACCACTAAGCCACATCTGAAGGCCTGACATCATTCACTGACAAGCAGTCATCACAAAGTTATAGAACGCAACTTTAGTCATGACCACACACACAGGTCATTTTAGCACTGCAAAACGTAAACGAGTGGGGCTGATGCTTCCATGGGCTGTATCAATCACGGCAGCTTTGACGAGCTCGATGATTAATGAGTACACTCCTGCTCCATCAGGAGCTGAGGTTGCTCCAAATTGTCCACAACCAGGTTAGGCCTTTGGGGTGTCCCAGCTGTCTTCTGCCCCAGATACATACTCTCACCCCCTCAAAACACACTATTCTTATCAGGACTGTACAGCAGCACTGAATGTCTTACTGCAGCTGCCAATTATAACAGACTTGGCATCATTTCTTCCATTACGCCCAACGTACAGATCTGACCTGCAGTGGAAAATGAACAGAATGCACCAGTCGCTGCTCCATCAAGATACATCCAACAACCAGAAAAACATCCCACATGACTTCCAGCATCATTAGAGGGATTGAGGGAGATAGCAAGTGAATACATTCTGCAACCCACAGAGGAACTAGTGAACATCTGGACAGAAATGGACCTTCCAGATGTTTTTGACATACCTACAGTCTGCACCAGTGAATGAATATAGAAAGGCTCTAAGGCTGTCAGAGCCCCCATATGGATTTATCTAATCAAATCAGAAAAGCATCCCATCGGATAGACACTGATTATGGTTTTTAATGGTAGCAGGAAGTAGATTCCCAGTCCTTAAACAACCATGATGGAAGCCTAATCTTGTGGTTGTGGAAAACTAGTTGCTCCATTTCGGGGGGGGGGGCAATTTCTGGGGTTCAAGCAAACAAAAAAATGACAAATTATACTGATGAAATGACTAAAACTGAGTTTAAAACTGTATAACAAACATCCTGCAATTGATGTTCAAATTATAATCTTTTATTTCCATTTAAAAAAAATAAAAATCCAGAAAACTAATAGTCATATTTAACATTTGCAGGATTTTAAAAAATGACTCAAATTACTGGAACAAACTGTGTAATGTCATCAAAAGAAGAAAAAAAAGGAAAATCCATTGGACTAGTAGAGGGCTTCAATTTGCTGGAGAGCATAAAAGCCTGGACCCTGGATCAATAAAAAAAGGTCCTGTGTTCTAATGAGGCCTGAATGATGAGGGCATCAGAGTAGGACAGGCAGTCGTTCCAGCTGTGGAAGCCTGCAGGGGCAGAGTTATGATCCGGGTTGCTTCCTGTGTTAAGTCTACGCTCAGACCAAAGAATAAGCTCCAGTGTCGATCCAAATATCCTGAGTGACCAAGTTAGTCCATTAAGGGACATTTTTCTTAAACTAATATTAGCACTGTATTTTTCCCCAAAGTCCTTGAGATGATCCAATTTACCCATCATAAAAAGAAGGGGACAAAAAAACATGCTGAATCCATCGCTACAAACAATTACATAACGGGTTGTGTCGGATGGTTTTCTATCTGTGCACCAAGTCCACTTTGACGTAGGCCATTGTAAGAACAGCAGCTAAAAATGGTTTAGTGGTGTTTGGGTTCGGAAGTAACCAAATATATGTTGTAATGTCGCCAAATCCAAATCACGTGTGTAGAAAATCGCATCCTGTGATTACACTCAATCCCAAATCATGCAAGTCATTCAGCCAACATGCCAGGGAGATTACAAGGCATAATCTGTGTTATTGAAACCGATTTATGTATAAATTAACCATTTTAGGGAGAAGATTAACCTTTTCACTCCAAATTAAAAGCTAAGCAACCCCTCACTCTGCAAGAGGATAAAGAACAAACCAGATGAAATTGGGGCAAAGAGTAGCTCTGCCATCAGAACCGCAGCCAAAAATTGACGCCTGGTTATCAATACAAATCACAAAAGCCACAGTTTGCTACAGGGTGTGAAATTGCATGCGACAATCAGAAAATGACGCTGGAAAAAAAAAACTCCACATTGGGCCACTCCACATTGCGACTGTTCAAAAGCTTTACCTAACCAACTATTCACACACTGAAATCAGACACCAAATGTCGCCGTCCTTGTGCGACCTCATACGACTGAGACGTAAGCCTATGTGGTTCGACCATGTCGGATAATAAAGCGCAGATGCCAACGAGCAGCATAAACGTCCACTGCATGCTCGGCCCATCTGTCTTTGAGGGGGCACAGCTAGCTTCTGAGGCTTTGGCAGACATGCCGTGGCTTGAGAACCAGCACACCCTCATCATCTCTCAGTCAACGTGTGTGCAGAGACGCTGAAAACCATGCAAGCGCACAGTCTCAGGAATTCACATGGAGAGCTGGCAGACAACAAGTGATCTGCGCTGCTTTCCAGTGCATTTTTAATACGACAGAGGCTTGGGGAAATCATCTCAATCTTGAGGCTAAGCTTCCCGTCCCCAGATTACTTCAAATCCATCATCAAAGCAGACTAAAACAATGTAAAGCACCAATCTGTGCTACTGTATTAGATTTAGCAAGAGGTGAAAGGACAACAGCCATTAAAGCTAAGCCTCAAAATGTGGCAAGTAATGCCGGAAAATGCATTTAAATCCTATGGTTGTAGCAAGTGACACTGCAGGACAGCGGGAGCTGTACAAACTGGGCTTCAGGGAGAGTATGAGTCATTTATGCATGTAAATTGTTGCGCTTGGTTAACCACATAAAGCCTCTGTGTGCCAGATGGGACTGAAGGGATCCTGCAGTACAGTGTCCTAAACATCCATTTCTTTTTGGTGTGCCAAGTTAAAGGTTAACTCACTCAGACACACCTTGCTGATTTGGTACTATGACCCCCTAGTCAGTTCACGCCCTTACAAAGTTCCACACCCATTGTTCTGAATCCAGATTCCCAAAAGGCAACAAAAGTGGGAGGACTGCATAATACTTCCTTGTCCTCTCTGGCTTGAAAGGCCATATTTGTACAGTAGGAAAAATATATATATCTATATATATATATATATATATATAATGTTTTTACAGGAGATGCCAGTAGACATACACAATTTGATTTATCTGTTTTACTACAGGAGGAGCCTCAAATTATTGAAAGGCTTCCAGAGATATTCAATTTGATTACATCACTCCAAATATGACCAGCAGAAAACAGAGCACTTTAAGAAAGGCGCTCTCCATCTCATCTAGGCAACATGGACATTCGAGGTAGTCTTAAAGCTCTTTACCAAAACAGTGTTGCAGATCTCTTCCAACTCCTTCTCCACCTTCTCCCGATACTCTTTGACCATCTGCTGCTTCTTTTCGCTCCCCTCGGTCTTCAGGCCGATGCTGGACAACACCCTCCACGCGGACCGCCTGGCACCGACCACGTTTTTGTAGGCGACGGAGAGCAGGTTCCTCTCCTCGTTTGACAGCTCGCCTCCTTTCTCCGTGACCTCCTTCATACATTCTGCCATGTCGTCGTAGCGCTCAGCCTGCTCCGCCAGCTTGGCCTTCTGAATAAGATCCGTTCTATCCATAGTTTATGTTTTCAGGGGCGCCGGGAAGAAAGAAGTCTGGGGGCGTGTGGCAGTCGAGGACAGCTGAGTTAACCGATAGGTGAAGCACAGGATCGGCTGTTATTCCCCACAAGCTGCAACAGGAATTTAGATTCATTAGATGCCGATAGCATCGACAAAAAAAAACATCAGCTCGCTGTGTAAAAATGCATTTCTCTGATGCAGGGTTGAAAGGAGAATAAAAATAACTGTATCCCAGTCTAACAATACACAGTGGTTTTATCTAAATTCCCCTTCTCAACTTGACTACAGTTACTGCCCTGCCTTACTCATCATGCCACGTTAAACTCATTCGTCTAAACCCGTTTTTTTAATCGGAGCTCTGTAGTGAGCATCAGGAGAGATGAGCTCGTCAGTCCGTTCTGCAAGGCGACCCGCCACAAAGCTGTCTGGTACAGCTCGCTAGCAACTTAGCAAAAATTAGCTGGCGTTAGCCACATCGGCCACTCCTTTTAATATTAAATATAATGATAGCGGTATTCATGCAAATCACTTAGCCAGAAAACGCATTATTAGTTCGATAGTAAGCCCGTAATCATACGTTTGAAGGAAAAAATAAAATACTCATTATTTCACACGTACTGAGGTCCAAATTTGCTCCCCAAATTGATCCGATTTGAGAGATTGGTCAGAAAGGCAAAGAATGGCAGGAGAAGCAAAAATCCAACTGAACATGCTAAAATAGGAGGAGGGTTAATGTAGCTATAGACTGTCCAATCATAAACCGGAGTCAAATTTGATCGACAGGAATGGTTTGTAGTGTCAACCAATAGTTATTAAGCGCGGGGGAAGGAGGCGGGTTTTTGGTGATAGTTTGAGTGACCGGTGCGCTGCAGCGAAAGGGCCACGGGGTTTCCTCCAATTAGAGCAAGGAATGAAGACGTCACCGTATTGCCATAGTAATGCACATCCAATCGCTTTGCAGTTTTCACACGCTGCTGTGCTGTAGGCGGGTGTGGCCCTTGAGTTTCCTCTGGATATCTGGTTTTCTACTGACGTTTTAAACTGTTTTTTATGAAGAGACCAAAACTGCTGAGTTGATCATACATCACATTTGTATATTTTCCACGTTGTATGTTGTCTGTTTTGTCAATTGCTTTCAGTCATAAGAGGAAAAGCATGATTAGACTGTCTTAAACCCCATATTCAATTAAAGCACAAGGAAACAATTGAGGCCATATAAAGGTGTACGATTACACAATAAGACGAAACCTTTGGGGGTTGCTGGGCTCAGCAGAAACTTCAGAATGAGGAAACAGTTCTTGGGTGGATGCTGTAACACCTCATAGATAAACATGAGAGCCTGCATACAGGACATGTGCACCTTACAGGACTAGCCAGTGCTGCCAGAAAATGTAAATACTCACTCTCAGGTTGATTACCATGCTTTTCTGTTGGTTCATATAAATACAATGGTTGGAATTTTTATTTCTATTTGGTTCCTTTGGTATTGTTCCTATTCTTTCTGTGTGTGTGTGTTTTAAAACTTGTTATGTAGATAGATTCCTTCTAATTCTTTTGGATGGAAGGTTTGATATTGCCACTTATTTTATTAACCCATTATTAACCCATTCTTCAAAGACAAAGACTTTCATTTGGATTGATGTCTGCTTTTTGCCTTAGCCAATTCAAAATATTTAGACGTTACATTTTGAGGTAATTATCCTGTAGGAAGTTCAGCTGTATCAGTCTCAAACCTGACTTTTCCTAAAGAAAACTCCCTGTCCTCAGTAACACCTTGGAGATTGAAAAAATGTTCTGCAGCATTAGACTGCACCACTATGCTTTACAATACAGGTATCAACCCTACCGACAGATACTGTATATTGGTATCTGTTGAGCTTTCAGGCACCAACAGTGTTACTCTGGATTACTTCCCTCCTGGCCTGGTCTGTGTTTATAGATGGATGGTCCTCCCAAAAATGTTTTGATGTGAAGTGATATTCTTATGACCTTATGATTTTAAATTAAACTGTGTTCCTCGAGATTGTCCAAATGTGGTATTTAACATAACCCAAACATGATTAGAAACAACCTTTTCCCCGACCGGTTTGGAGAACTCCTTAATCTTCATGATGTCACTTGCTTGGTGGTAGCGTTTCACTAGTCATTTCTAGATAGTTAAATTCTTAGTTTTCACACAGATGGACATTGTTCAATAAGAAGGAAACTATTTTTCCCCTATTTTTTTAGGGGTGTCCTAAATGAATAACACTTCTTACTAGGTCAGATTTTATTCAGGTTTTTTAAAGACTTTTTTCTAAAAAATCTCATTTTTAGTTTCACCCCATAGGTTTTTTCAACAATAGAATAACCACGGTCCTATAAAATCCATTTAAATTCCAAACTGCTATGCAAAAAAAAAAGAAAAGTACCAAGGTTGTGAATTTTTTTTTCATTATAGAAATTCTGTCAAAAAAGGAACAATGTCAAGTGTAGTTCACAGATTTTGCCATTTTTAGGGGCTCCAAATAAACCATTGAATACAGTATTGGTCAACATCTTGCTCCGTTTGAGTCAGTGTTGTTATTTTTCTCCCAATTCTGTGTAATTAGTCACGGGTCCCAAAGGTTAGCATAGATGCATTATTTACAATTCCCAACAGATGACAGGCCAACTAATGTGAGCTTTAATCAAAATCTCAGCTGGAAAATGCCATGAAAGCATAAGAACTCACTTCCAGCTGTTTTGCATTACATTATTATGCCCTGCCCTGATGATTAGCACCAAAAAATATGATAACTTAATTTTCACTGTTTGACTCCTGTCTGCTTTGTGGTCAAATGGAGGCCTTTCAGATAAGAAAATCAAATCTTTAGTGCATCTCCTGCTTGTTTCCTGGAATCAGATGTCCCTTTATATTAAATCAAAGATTAATCATAATGTCATTTGGGTCATTTAGTCTGAATTAAAGAAAAACAAAGAATCTACTACTGGAACTATTTGGGCGCTACTTGTGTTTGGAAAGTATCAATGCCATCAGTCGTTTGGCGTACTGCATTTCTGCAGTATGATTCAGAGCTTAACTAAATAAAAATTTGGACAAATTCTTGCCTTTTAACTCCTGCTGTTGATGTATACAAATCAATTATTGATGCATGTTGTAATTCACATTCTGAGGTATAATAACAGTATAATAACAGTTCACGCACTTCTTGCAATGTTTCTGAATCCATTTCACCTGCTACTCTTACCACATCCTTTGGTTCATCACTGACATTTTCCATAACTTTACTTGAGGAAAAAAAGGAATATTATCCCCCCTTGGAAAGATCCTAATTATACACTCGGGCTGCTTCATTGATAGAGCACACACTACTACAGATATTTACAGAATTACATATGTCTAAATTATTCCATGCATTTATTTATTGTGAAGTGTGTGTAGGAGGGAGTAAGTAAAGGTTAAAGCATGAAAACAGAGAAAATGATAAATAAAAAAAAACAACAGCTTGAAATTCTTTTCCCCACTAAGATGAAAGCTGCTGTGATTCAACCTTGTTGTAGCACAGTTAGTGCGGAGGCAGGAAAAGGTGTTACACAACCACCGGGCTTCCAATACTCCCACCCAGGGTAACACAGTAATAAGGACACTGCCAAAGGAAACAGTCCGGAGAGTAGGCTGAAGTGGATCGCTCTATCCCTGCAGCCATCTGTCTCTATTCCATCCATGTGACCTTTTTGAACTGTAAGGAAAAGTGAAGTCACCCATGCATGTAATAGTTAATGAGAATACCTCGATATCGGATTGGTAAACATCGTTGCTCTGTGTTTGTGTGCTTATAGACACAATGTGTGTGCGCTGTCAGATGGGACCAGCAGAGCTGATGGGCTCCTGTGTCAACTTGTAGAATTAAATTGTGACCAGCTTTGTAAAGGAATGCAGGCAAGACTGAAAGTCAGGCATTCCAAAAGAAGGTGAGGGAATGTTTGCAACCATGAAGTGTCATTATCAGTACATGTGTCTCCTGAGGGGAGAGGCGTTGGCATGCCGGGAAGAGTGCATTTTATAATGAGCAAAGTCTGAATATGAGTACAGTGAGCACACACCAAATATTTAATCTCAAACTTCCAGCAGAAGTTAGTGAGCAGTTAAAACTGACACACAGAAAATGTTCATTTGAGTTCAACAATGCATGCTTTTACACATTTATTGAAAATGGTTGACAGAAATGTAAAGAATTGGTTGAGTTTCCACACAATGAAGTGTCAACCGGAAAGAGTCTCTTTTGGGTAAACAGAAATGGAAAGTTACAATGTCTGCCTTCATGACTTGTGGACCACACCCTGTGGTTTGCCCACAGGTGAGGTGAGTCTCAGGCCACCATGTGTCTCACAGCTCAGTAACCCATCCCCTGTGACTGTAGCAGTGATGAGCAACCAGAGACGAATAAATAATAAAAAGGCGTCTTTGTCATAGACAGCGCATCAACGAAATTAAGGTGTAACTGCACAGCACTGGAAAGCATACGGATGTGTTTTTTCTCACCATCTTAGGTACTTTATGAGTCATCAGAGGGCATTGTTCAAAGCTCTGAGCCAGCAGACGCTGCCTGGGCTGTGCTACAACATGTCTGCAGAGAATACGCTGCCACTGAATGAACAACTGTGCCAACATTTTCCAAATACTTGAATAAATCAGGAAGATTTTGGAAAACTCTCTAGAGTGACTCGTTTTAGTAATTGACATAAGAGTAGGTTGACACTGCAATCATTTCGGTTACATGAATATTGAGCTTTTCAAGAGTTTTTCTTGACTTATGTAAAAGAGGACAAAAGGAAGAAGGGCAGAAGTAGTTAAGATCAGGAGTTGCTCTGGCATGTTTTGTGTAAGCTTATGTTGTTACATATTCCACTTTTCTTTTTCAACTTTTTTGTTCGGGGAAGGGAGTTGAATCGAATAATATCAAACAAAGGTCAATCGAGATGTAAAAAAAAGTCCTTTCCGATCAAGACCTATTTTTATAAGTTTTTGTTTTTCTGTATTTTAGCTGTATTTTTAGCTTCTGACTTATTAGATTAAAAAAATATTACATCTAGTCACCCCATAAAAAGTCTATCCTCTATCCACACTGCTTTAGGAGTTTTATCAGCCTTCCTTCAAAGGTCATCAATTAAACTGGCATCCTGTATGCATACACAAAGTGGAATGTTATTCTTTATTATTATTCATTATGTCAATAAAACTGCTTGGTATGTCAATGAGTTCATTAATTAGACATTTCAGTCCATTGTGGCATAAATAGCATGTTCAATATTAATCGTTTTGGGCTTGATGTTAATCATTAAGGAGTTGCGTCATTTCTTGAGTTTTGTGGACAAACGGTAGCAGAGGGATAAGAGGGAACAATGTTTATTGTAATCAAAGTCCTATTCTGCTATAATTAGAAGCTGAATCTTCTGTCACACCTATCCACTCCACTCAGTTAGGCGCATGTCAGCACACGGCTCCTCTTCCTGAAGCTGATTTCAGCGTGCGGCTCCTGTAGAACAGAGCAGGTTGATTTAAGTTTTCATCCCCTCATCCTCCCTCATCATCCCTCCCCCACCTCCTCCCCTCTCTGTTTATTCCAACAGTGCACTTGTCTTTCTGGGCTGCCTCTGCATGCCTCCGGGGCACAGATTATTCAGATAAACTTAGCAACAGCTCGCCACACCGAACACTATCAAAGACAGAAAGGC